TCGGTGATCTGTCTCCAATTCAAAACTACGTCCATATAGGTACATGTGAAAGTGTTCACATCCGAATACGATTGCTAATCCTTCTTTCTCTATGTGACAATACTTCTGTTCGACATCTGTTAGCGATCTGCTACCATACGCGATTGGTCGATAATTGTCGTCGGCTTGTTTCTGGAGAAGTACGGCACCCAGTGCCCATGGCGATGCATCTACAACGACTTTAGTTTCCGCAGTAAGATTGTAATGAGCTAATACCGGTGAAGTGGTGATGGCATTCTTCAGTGACTGGAATGCTTTCTCGTGACTGTGATCCCAGTGAAACGTGACATTCTTCTTTGTAAGCTGTCGAATTTGGAAGGTTAGGCTGCTGTAGTCGGGTATATATCTCGAACAATAATTGGTGAGGCCTATTGGTGAAACAAAAATTAAGCGTGTTAAGTGTTCGAAAACGTTAGGCATTATTATAGATGATCAACTTTTGTGGAAAAAACAAGTGGAAACCACTGTATCCAAAGTGTCGAAAGGTATAGGTATGCTGAGACGAATAAAGAGTTGTGCCCCAAAAAGAACATTGATAAATGTGTACAACGCGATAATACTGCCATATTTTGATTACTGTAGCCTTGTTTGGACTAACTGCAGCGAATATCTGCGCGACAAAATGCAGAAAATGCAAAACAGGGCTGCAAGGGTCATCACTGACAGACCATATGAAATAGCAACAAAAGAAATATTTGAGGAATTAAATTTGCCACCCTTAGCTGATCGATGGGAGTGTTTATGAATAAAGCGAAAAATAGTGAGCTACCAAAAAGTATGAACCAATTGTTCGAAATCGCTAATAATCAAAACTACAATTTACGCAGCAACGGTAATGATTTTCTTTTACAAAAGCCAAAAACAAATTACATGAAAAAAAGTATCAGTTATAATGGAGCAATAGCGTGGAACAATTTGTCAAATAATGCAAAAGCAACAAATATGACAATTGGACAATTTAAGGCTGCTCTCGACCGCAAATAATACGTGATTCTCTTCTGTAAATATTTTTCTATATTTGATATTACCTGCACATTAATTAAGTTACTTTGTATTATTCTGTCAATATCTTTCTATTTGACAACATTTCTTGCATGTTTTAAAATACTAAAACTGATATTTGATGTGTTGGTGTAGTGTACTCAGGTGAATAAGATGCTTGTGATGTTACTCTGAGTGTATATCCACACCAGCAGGCTTGAAAAATATGCCTGGCCACGGTGGGAATCAAACCTACGACCTTTGGAATACTATCGAACCGACCTGACCGCGTAGCTCAGTTGGCAGAGTATTGGGCTAGTATTCCAAAGGTTGTAGGTTCGATTCCCACAGTGGCCAGGCATATTTTTCAAGCCTGCCCGGTGTGGATATATACACTCAGAGTAACATGACAAGCATAATACTAAAACTGTCTGTACCAGTGTGGGTAGTACAAATGTGAAATTGATGTGCTGAGTGGTTATATTACTATACCTGAAATAACAAAACTGCTTGTTTATTTCAGGTAGTAATATAATCGCTCAGCACATTAAAATAATAGAGTATGCCGCATTGCCACTTAATGGGTTAACAGGGTGCATGGGCAGATACTCTGATTAATTTATAAGTAACCAATTGAGTGGCAGCATTCTCCCCCTGACGAGTAAAATCATCTGGCATTAGGCAGAGTAAAATCATAGAGTAGGCCACATCAGGGCGCATTGCCACTTATTAAAATGCATTCACATTGGATATACTGTACCCGGATACAGTGCAACATTTAAATGCGTGTTGACATTTGACGTATATCTTTTAGTTTTAAAATATATGATGCTAACATTGTAAAAGGTATAAAATGTGAATTTAATTAAGGGAAATTAAACCGGCATCTCTACAGAAACTATTAAACCATCCATAATACTCCCAAGCTAAGTTTCTCAAACTGCAAATTGCCAGAACCGAAATAACCAGCCAACCACGAGTAGAAACACTGACATTAAGTCCACAACTGTTGGCACAATTGAATTACTGTTCAGACAGTGCATGGAAGACTAGATCGGCAGAACGTGGTGCTTCATCTCCCAGTAAAATATAAGCGTCTATAGTATAAACTGATGTATATGCAAGAAAAAATGCTCTTTCTTTAATGTATCATTTACCTGATAATCGGCTGAATACAAGCACTTCACACTGTGTGACAACGTTCATCGTTAATTTAAAAACACAATATTTTGATCGTGTATACAAACTACGGGTCGAATTTCGCAGCCAGCGAACGGCGTACCGAACCTTTTGATTAGCGATACGTTGCGTTTACAGAATGTGATGTTTTTTGCTGTTGTTGTTTTCTTTCTGTATCTCACTCGATTCAATGAACTTTTTAAAATGTTAAAGGTTTTCGTTGATGGATAATTCGAACCTCGAATCGCATATCAATTCGCCTTCGTTTGTATCCATAGACCATATTATAAAGACATAAAGTATGCATAGTCGCATAGAGATTAGATTGCCACCGCTGATTGGCTAGAACTAGAAGCAAGAAAGTCCACTAACTAACGTATCTACTGATTGGCTAAAGGTCACTAACTTACACGCACTGTAGCATACCGTATTTACTCGATTGAGCGCCGCCCCCGAATAAGCGCCGCATTTGAGATCAAATTTTTTTCAAGAACGCCGCCCCCGAATGAGCGCCGCACTGAAGAGTATAAAAACTTTCCGTCTTCAAAATGGGTACATTTAGTGACAAAATCTTTTAAAACTTGTTTGTTTTATTGTTAAAAGTTCTTGTTATAACTCACAAATAAAAGTTTTTTTAAAGAGCGCTGCGCCCCCGATTGAGCGCCGCCCCCGAATGAGCGCCGCATCTGAAGCTCTAAAAATTTAAAGAGCGCAACGAGTAAATACGGTAGTATCTGCATTCGCAGATACAAAAATAGTTACGTGACATGTACATGTATCTGCGAAAAAACTTGATTCACATTTTGTATTTCTTGAAAGGAACCGAATAATGAAGATGACATGGGACAATAGACCAGCTTATGCATAATGACGTCACAAGGCTTGATGCCCGCGAGGAATGCTGGTCTTAGTAGTCATCACCCTGGAAAATTTCTATAGTGGCCATTTTGAATTGTTTAATTTTGCCGGGCGATAACAATTAAGACCAGCATTCCTTGCGGGCATCGAGTCTTGCGACGTCATTATGCATAAGGTTTATTGAAATATTTCATCACTTACTATAATAAATATAATAGCAAATAAGATTTTAAAGTCATACATAACACACATCTAACATGGCTGTACACATGCAGCGGAGAGAGCAGCAGGGGCAACCGCCACCCACCCACCCAATGCCCCCCCCCTCCCCCACCAAGAAAATTTAACTAATTTTATCATGTGTTTAAGATTGTAATGGATAATTACAATTCCAGTCGTGTGCACAGTTAATGATATACCACACTGTTCGGTTTGACACCAGAGGTTTGACACAGCATATCACTGGCCACACAAAAACATTTTGTGCATGGGCGTATGGGCCTAATCTTGTTTGGGGGCAAAGTATAGTTTGCCCGAACAGGCAAAGTAAAGTGAACATTAATATTTCTCCCCAAAATTGTTGGCGAGCGGGGGAGGGGGACATACCAAAACAAATTTTCCGGACATACCAAATACTTTTCTGCAAATATACGAAAATTTTGCCGGACATATCAGACAATTTTCCCTAACATCACGTAATTTCCGCAAAGATACAAAAATTTTTTCAGGACATATCAATATTTTCCCGAAATTTTTATGTTTTGCCCGAATTTCGCATTGATTTTTGCCCGACCGCAAAAATGGGGGGGGGCACGTGCCCCCTGGCACGTTGAGTAGAAGGTATCACAAGTTAATTTTGCACATTGTGTACTATTGATCTGACCCATCAATATATAATATATGATTAATGTAGCTGTTAAGTTATTTTCCATACTAATGAATTTAGGTAAGATTGTCTTGCAAGTGGGTTGTTCTGACAAAACATGATTATCCAGCCAATATCCAGTACATTTATCAAGATTTATTCATCATTCTTGTATTGATCTCTAAACAAAAGCATTTATGTTACAAAGCAAAATGTCAATGTAATCAGGAGGGCGGGTGGGGATTCTGTAATTAGCATTTGAAAATGTTTAAAATTAACTCTTAGGGGCTGATTACATGGAGAGTTTTCAGCCCGGTTTCCCGGGCTGAAATTTCAGCCCGGCCTAAGGATAAAATCCTAGTAAAACACAGCAAGCGATTACATGACGAGCTACCCGGGCTGAAATTTCAGCCCGGGCTGAAACTCAGCCCGGCATGCATGTAATCGCGAATAATTTCAGCCCGGCCTAAAAAGAACCGTTTAAATGGCTTTATTTTGCGTGTTTGTTTAATTTTTAAATACTTTACATATAACCACAGTCTCACACAAGTCAAATACTGGACTAATCAGTGTCTGATTGCTTCAAAGAAGCGTAACACGCTAATTGTCCTATTTCGTGACACTCAGATTATTTCAACCCGGGCTGACATTTCAGCCCGGGTTGATGATAAATATAGCTCTGACTAAACTCAGCCCGGGTTGAAACTGCTCATGTAATCGTGATGCAATTTCAGCTCGTTTAACCGGGCTGAAACTCAGCCCGGGCTGAAAACTCTCCATGTAATCAGCCCCTTAATGTGTAAAACCGAAATGTATAAGTATTTTAATTGATAACATCTTAACCTTCTATAAACACTACATCTGCATGATGACAGCTTAATATGTAGTTGGACTGTTGTTTTGAACAGAGTTTAATACAGAATACAGGACCAGGATTTAATTCAATATCTCCTGAGAATATTTATAGCTTCCTTTGTATCGTTCTTTGGCAAATATATTGCCTGCTATGTTTTGACTGTTTAAAACATTACACAATGATTGTTTTACTGTATAAATGTTTTTGTGAACTAAGTTGACAAATGGTTTAAAATACCATATGAATTATAAATAAAAATATGTGGCATTTACACAAATTTGGTATTTAAATATGTCATAAAAATATGTGGTATTTGACTACATACCAGATGAGGATATTAAGTTTCCATGTTGATAGATAACTTCGGAATAATTTCGCAAGAGAATATGGAGAAAACAAGACACCCAATTCAAGATAGAATCAAGATATTTCTGAAGCCAAAATGGCAAACACAATGTAAACACCTGAATAACACGACGCTAAACCATGCCCGTTCGCAGGTTACACGACGTAACCTAATCGCTGATTGGCTGAAATTATATAAGCTCGTCGCTGAATGGCTATGTGCTAACATACGGTCACGGTACGGTCACGATACGTTTGCGATAGCATATATATCTACTTCGCAG